GAGAGAGAGAGAGAGAGAGAGAGAGAGAGAGAGAGAGAAATGGGGCATGTCAGGATAAAGAGAATGACCGAGAGAAAGATGTTCGTCGAGAGGGACTGGAACAAGAAGACGGGGATAGAGGGAATAAAGTCAGAATAAAAAGAAGAAAGAGAGAAAGAGAGAGGGGTGGCATAAAGGGAGTAAAGTAAGAATAAAAAAGAGAGGACGGGGGAGGGGACGAAGGGAGTTAGAATAAAAAGAGACGGGGAAAGGAGGGAAGGAAGAGAGGGGAGAAAAAAATGGCAGTCACGAAAGAGGTGAACTGAGATTTCCCAGCTCTGTCCCCAGGGCAATTTATACAGGCTATCTCTTGGAACTGTTGCTGTTCTTTGTGATTACCTACAGAGAGGAAAACGCATTCGTAGAGGGTTCTTATCTTAAACATTTAAAACATTTTGTTTGGGAACGTTTTTGTTTTTAAATGTAATTGGGTTTTTTTAGGTTAGCATCTGAGGCATTCACTTTGAAACATCACAACGAATCTAATAATATTCTAGGCACGCAGTAGTCTAGCACGTGTAGCGAAGTCGCCATGCCGTGAGATCTTTGCGTGATGTTTGTGTTTCCAATACAAAGAATGCATGACATGACATGACATGTATAAGAAAATATTCAGGACCAGAAAATATGTTCGTTATGTGATGTGTGTTCCTCAGTGTGCGTGTTCGGTGTGCGTGCTAGGCTATAGATCTATTTGAATGGAAAATTTCATCCTTTTGCATCAATTGCTGTCCAGTCGTTACAAAAAGCCAGAGCTCCTCTTAAAATGAAAAAGGAAACAGAATTCTTGAACAGTTAAAAAGGAAAACAAAATAGCCATAAATGAAGAAAAAGAAATTAAGCCTCAATATTATTTCTTTGACGTGGGCGCTTCGGTGACCAATTAGGCCATTACGCAAACAGCGCCGTAAAAATAGAACACAACTGAGCAAGCTGTCTTTGATTTTTAGTAAGAAAGGGTTTTAGGGCTCTTGCAACACAAATAGGTCATATAACTTAATATCATACGTACTGAAGGTTAGAGGTGTCACTAGAGAGTAACAAACAAAGACAAGAAAAAGAAGAAGAAGAAGAAGAAGAAGAAGAAGAAGAAGAAGAAGAAGAAGAAGAAGAAGAAGAAGAAGAAGAA